TCCCATTTGCCTGCCTTAGTGTACAGTCTCAGGATGCAGGACTTGGGGTGAAACCCACCGTGCATTGTAAGGAGCTTCCTTGTCTTCCCTCTCCTTGTTAGCATTCAACCACACTTATCCAGTCCGAATGACATTCCGATGTCCTGGCTGTAGATCCTAGTGGTGTGGATCATTGAGTCGATGTCTCGTTCACTCCTAGCATACAGCTTGATGTCATCCATGTAGAGGAGGTGGCTGATGGTTGCTCCATTCCGTAGTCGGTATTCGTATCCGCTCTTGGAGATGATCTGGCTGAGGGAGTTCAGCCCTATGCAGAACAGCAGGGGGACAGAGCATCTCCTTGAGGTGGTATGCCTGGTCTTACAGTCTCGGGTGACTACTTTATCAACCAGTAGCTGGTGTTTTGCTCCTCTGGTGTTACTACCAATTCCTTTCTGGGCCCTGCTCATGTATTGAGCCATGTGCCTGCCCATTTTAGCTGCTATGATGCCTGAGAGGAGCTTCCATGTTGTGCAGAGGCAGATTATTGGGGGTAGTTGGATCGTACTGTTCCCTTCTGAGGGTCCTTCAGGATCAGGACTGTCTGGCCTTCAGTTAACCACTCAGGGTGGGTTCCATTCATTAGTAGCTGGTTCATTTGTCCCGCCAGGCACTCATGCAGTGAAATTAGCTTCTTTAACCAGTAGGCGTGGATCATGCCAGGGCCTGGTGCTGTCCCGCTCTTCATACTTGAGACCCTCTCTTGAATGTCTGCCATTGTGATGATTACTGGGTCTTGTTCAGGGAGGTTGTTGTGGTCTGCTCTCAAGTCCACCAGCCACTGGGCATTGTTGTTGTGTAATGCCTCCTTCCATGTATGTGTTTCTTTTTCAGGTGCTTTCCCACAACCTGTACACAGTTCTTAATATCCCACATGATCCGGTGGCTCTGGAGCAGCACTTCCAGGATGACGATGACGGGCCGGTGTCTAATCATGGCTACATGCCCTACCTCAACAAATATATACTGGATAAGGTACTGTGACTGTTCATCATTAAATCAAATATGTATCGGCTCACTACTGAAAATAGACCCCAACAAATTTTCAGGTCCACTCGGCGCGACCTGCCTCTCTTCCGCCTTTCTCTCCTCTGTTCTCTTGAGCTGCACCTCAGCTGTGTTGCATTCGGTAGTTAGCGACTCGTTTGTCGGTGCGCACAGCTGGGGTGCATCCCGCTGATTACCTGCCTCCTTATTTATACCTCTGGCAGACGCTCTGTTGTCGCCGGAGCATTACCTTACTTAACTCGCATACCCTGTAACAGACCTATTTTCGTGATATGTATTATAGGTCATTTTGTTTTCCACGCTGACGGTTCCTGTGCTGTGGATCTCATTTTGTACGTTGGTTATTTGTTTTGTGTTATACGTCTCTGGACATTCCACGCTGACAGTTCCTGTGCTGTGGATTTCCTTTTTCGTTCGCCAATCCTCCTGGTTAGTCATCTATTCACCTGTCCGTCCTGATCCTCCCACTCTCCTGGTTTCTGCCGTTAGCTTGTCTCCTCCACCATCTCTGCCCTACTTTGCTGGTTTCTGTACATGGACTATGATACGTTGTTTTGTTGTTACTGTGCATTTCCCAACATTAAGCCTCCTTCTTTTAACTAGCACCTGGGTCGGCAATCTTGAGTCCAACCTCAGTTCTCCCTCATCCTCCTCGTGAGGGGGACTAACCATAACACAAATGTATTATTTCCTCTAAACACCCAGAGTGCCCAGCTGTTTTAGAAAATCATTTAGCTTTAAAAAATCTTTTAAATTACATACAATTATAAGGTTTACTGAATAATCCCTACACACCTTTATATCATTTATAACAGTTTGAAAAACACTTTTACGCAGCACCTCATTGGTGTTTGAGTTTTGCTGGGTTGTTCTTGTTCAGAAATTTTGGAAATGTCATTCTCCAAATGTTTCTTAAAAGCAAGATGCCAGAAAAATGTCTTGGTTGAAGTTAATTCTCACAGGGTTTAATAACTGTCCGTGAATCATGGTTTGTTTTAGGAGAAAGGCATAACCACTTTGTTTGAGTTATGTTCATTATTAAAGAAGTTTTGATCCAGTTTCATCAATGTTTGAGTTATTACCAAACCTTTTCTGCCTTCTCAGGTCAAAGAAGGGATGTTCGACAAGGAGAGGTTTGATGACCTGTGCTGGATGATGACCATGAAGAAGAACTACAAGGGGGTACCACCGGGGGCACTGCTATCGGAGAGAGACAGTTTCAAGCTTTTCTGTTTATTCAACCTACTGTCTGAGGACCGCTACCCGCTGGTGATGATACCAGAGGAGGTAAAAGATGAGAAACGAGAAAGGAATCTGTAGTAGGACCCAATCTTGGGAGCAACTTTATTTTTTATGTCTTTATGATGGATTTTATATCCGATTTGATCAAGACCTGATTGACTGTGGGCTACACAAGTCCAGCATATTTTTATTTAATAAAATTTTATATCGCTGAGATATAAAATACTAACATTTTGAGAGAAATGGGTCACATCTTAATTGAAAATATGCAACAAGTGAAAAAGTATCTTCATCATCCACTAGGCAAATAAATACAGACAGATTAACAAGTCACACAGGGAAACAGAGCAACACCAAGGCTTTTGAGGAAGTTATGTAATGCACTTTTACTGGGATCGCCTAATTGCTAGAAATAAATTTTGTGTCCCACTTAATTCAGACCTTGTGTTTTTTTTCTCAACAGTACAAGTATGTAAGTTAATGAAGCTCTTCCTTCCTGCACTTCCTTCCTGGTTTCAGTCAATGCAGACCAAAATAAACTGTTACTTTACTATCAGCCTTCCTCTGTAAAGCTATATTAGAGAAATCCACTGATACAGTATGTTGGCATACTGTCAGTATTGGTCAAAATCAGCAACAATAATCTAGATCTACCATAATATTTGCTGTCTATATTTGTGTGTGTGTGTGAGATTTTCCCTGCAAACACTTAAATATCTGAATGTTTTAGGTAGAGTATGTCCTCAAGAAAATTTCCACAGCAATGAGTCAGGAATGGGATGGGAAGCCCTTGGAGGACTTATTATCCCAGGATGCCACAGTGCAGGAAGAGGGTATATCTGTCTGGACCTTCCTGGAGCACATAGGTGCAGGTCGGCTTCTGAGGGTCACCAGTGCTGAGGCCTTCAGTCTGGCTTTGGATGAGGTCTTTCTGGAGATGTACCACAATGTCCTGAAGAGGGTGAGCATTTTGTGTGCATCTTCCTGCCGTTTTCATCCAGTTTGTCTGCATTCTTGTCATGTGTTTTCTTTGTTCTTCAACTCTTGTCTTGACGCCAGGGTTATATGTGGAAAAAGGGGCACTTGCGCAGAAACTGGACTGAGCGTTGGTTTATGTTGAAGCCATCCTGCATGGAATACTACGTCAGCGAGGACTTGAAAGACAAAAGAGGGGAGATCAAGCTGGATAGAAGCTGTGTCGTGGAGGTGGGTGGGGAAACTGTGTGTAAATTCTGCATGTTTAAGTCTTTGGCTGGAGGAAAAACACTGTTAAGTCATGTGTTATATTTTCTCTTTCAGCCTATTCCAGACAGGGAAGGGAAGCGATGTTTATTCTGTGTGAAAACCCACAGTAAAACCTATGAGATGAGTGCATCTGACCAGAGACAGAAGGTGGAGTGGACCCAAGGTGTGTTGGTGTGTCTTAGTAGAAACGCACAGACCAAGTCAAAAATTATAATGTATGCGGTCATTGCTGAGTTGTGCTTATAATTCACTGTACATCACTGGTTTACAAATATCACTTGCAAATATGTTTTCAGTGCTGCCACTTTTTCTTTTTTTTTTACATTTTACCTTTTGATAGATGAAACCCTCTGAAGGCAGTTTCTCATTTAGTTGATTGAAATTAATTGGTAGCCATTTTTTATAATTAGTTTTTTCAAGCAAAATGTCTTTTTTTTTTAGTTCCAGCTTCTCAAACATGAATATTTAGAGCCCCTTTGTATCAATAGTAAATTGTAAATTAAATATTTTTTGGTTTTGGATTGTACCCCGCCTCTCACCCACAGCCAGCTGATTGGCTCCAGCCCCCCGTGACCCTGTTTGGGACTAAGCGGTATAGTAAATGGATGGATGGTTTTGGATCGTTGGACAGATAAAACAAGTTTCTTTAGGACATTACTTTAGGATTTTGTAAGTTGTCATGGGTGTTTGCCACTATTGTTTTGACATTTCATAAACTATTAATCAACTTGTGGAGAAAATAATCATCATATTAATCATTAGATGCAGCTGTAATTGTATTATATGAATGTTTATTAACCTAGGACCAAGGAAACATTCCACAGAGCCCTAATCCGTTCTACATGTGGAAAATGTGAAAGGAGCACAAGCTCAGGAGAAGTGGTCTTCCTGATTTGTTTTGGTTATGTTGACTGCCTTAACATAATCGAACCTGTACCATCAACAAATGTCATAAACACTGAGTCACATCAGTCTTCTAATTTTGTGCACACACATGTCCCCTTTAAGATAGAAGCAACTGATCACATCATTTTCTAATCCACATTCCAGCAAAGTCTACCACAGCCACAGTGACGATCACAGCTTTGTTATTTATAGCACAACATTTTGTGTTACTGTGTATATATTTTAGGGATTGCTGGCAGAGTTAGGCTATTGAGCCATGAAGGAATACTTCTCCTTATGAACCAAAATATGCATTACTTCGACTGTCCAGCTGTTCTCCTTATTCCAAGAAAACCAGCTTACTTTTTTACATTAAGATCCGAATGTGTGTTTTATCTCTGCAGCCATTCAGACAGCCCTCCATCTCCAGAGCGAGGGCAAGTTCTCCCTTCACCACGAACTGAAACTGAAGAGACGGGTCCAGCGGGAACACAGCCAACGGGAGCGTAGCCGAAGCTCCCACAGCAGCTGCAGCAGCCGAAGCAGCCAATCAGATGACTCGAATACTCAAGAGTTGGAGAAGATGGAGAAGGAGAAAGAAAGAAAGGATTTAGAGATTGAAAGCATCATCCAGGTAAGAGAGGAAGGAATCAGTGGATCATAATGTCAAGCTGGAATTAATGACACAATAAATATGAATTTAACATTATGGTTTTGCAGCATGCACGGGAATTGGAAATCAGACGAAGAGAATCAGAGGAGAGAGAGAGGAGGAAACAGAGGGAGGTGCAGATGGAGCTGGAGAGACAGCTGAAAGAGGCTGAGATGGTAAAAAAAGTTGGCCAGATGACAGCATATTTCCACTGACTTTGATCTCTGAAAGCAGCAGCATACGCTGGCATAATAAATTAATGTTTAATGATTTGGAGAAGTGTTTGCAGCATTCCTGGAAAAGGTAGAAATGTAGGTCAGTTTGTTTCACCCAGATGGTGTGTGTGTGTGTGTCCAGCTGAGAGACAGCCTGCAGGCCGAGATGCAGGCAAAGGAAAAAAAGGCTGAGCAACAGAAGAGGAGGATTCAGGAGCTGGAGCTGACACAGCAGAAACTGGAGGCTGCTCTCAACATGGAGATCCAGGCTCGGCTGGAGGAGGAGAGAGCCAGGCAGGAGCTGGAGCGGTAACAAACATACACACCCACAGTAATTCCCTCTAAACTCTAAACCAAGGGATGTCAAAGTCTGAGACAATGGACTTCCTTGCATTCAAAACTGAGACAACTGTGCCCTCCACAGCCCCTCAGTTTTTGACTTTGTTTTGGGTGATAAGGTTTTTGAAATACCGTAATTGCCTCCATTAACTGTGCATCAGAATAGCTGCTGCATGTGCTGACCATTGTTAGTAAATGGGCTAAATCAACAACAAGAAAAAAATTACTAACACAGGCATTTGAAGTTGCTTGATTTCTTGTTTCTTCTTCCTTCCCTTCTTCAGGTTGTTGCTGGCTGAAGAAGAAAAGAAGAAGCAGCTCCTGCAGGAGCAACAGAGGGCCATACAAAGACTCAGCCAGATACAAGGCGCTTCAGACGGTAGCAGAGATGGGGATACCCCATCAGCCCTTTCCTCAGTCTCTCAAGAGCTCCAGGATCTGCAGGCATCTCGCCAGAGGAGCCACCAGCACCTAGAGGTGAGAAAGCGTATGCTTGGATTGTCTCAGTGTGCAGAGGGTTTAATACTATAGAAACACTCAAGTGAAGCTACAACTTTTATCCTCTCACTCCAGGAGGTTCAAGAGAAGCTAAGGAATGCCAGTCAACATGTACGGCATTGGAACGTGCAGGTGAACCGCCTGATGACGCCCATCACACCTGCAGGTGCAATATACTCTTTGTTTGGTCTGGGTGGATCTGGTGTGTGTGCAGGGGATCATAATGACTTTTAGTTTAGAAAGATCCTCCTTCAGCTTTAAGAGGTTAAACCAAATTATATTGATATTTATTGTTGAGGTGAAAAGCTGTCTCGCGATATCAGTACTTAACAGTACCAGAGCAGCAGCCAGCATGACGGACTGTGAGGGTGAAAGAAGGTCACACACAGCTTTAATTAGAAGTTAGAAGCTCATGCATAGTTCATACACAGTTATAAGGTCTGAAGAGACCCATGTGAAGGAGAGAAGCCGGTCAGTTGAATTTGCAGCAACAGCTTTTACAGCATTTGCACTTTGTCTTTTATTGCATATGATAATTCACATTCAGAATAGAACTGAAGTGATGTTCAATGCAAACATTTCAAAATGCACCTGCATTGTTTTGATTTCTGACTTTCAGTCAAATAAAAGACTATTTTCCAGTCATATATTTTGTCATTGAAGATTTCTTAAAAATAGTGTCAAACTATGGTCTCGTCTTGTTCTCATGAACCCAGTGTAGTGTATCGTCCCGTCTAGTGAGCTAAGTGTATCGTCACATCCCCAGAGAACACAGATTAAAGCAGCAAAACAATGAGTGAAGAGAATACACAGAATAAAGTCTAAGCAAGTCTTCACTGATCTGTAGCTGAGGTTGATCTCTAATCTTTCTTTTGATTAAATGACCCCACCGATCAAATAAATCACATATTGATAAATACAAAGTAAAGTAAAGAACAGGTTTTCAGTCACTAGAGGATTTGTTTCCACAATTTTTCATTTAAATTTTGAACACTTTAAAGTTTTGTTTTATTTTATTTTTTAGAAATGACATATTGTCATGTAGGAAACTAAATTTCTGATTCAATTCAAGTTTAATCTTTACAATTTTTTTTCTCTGTAATAGTTTTTCCACCATAAATTAGGTAGATGAGTTTTTATTACATCTATTCCCATGATGACTTTGCATATGCAGTAATGAAACTAGAATGTAGGTCAGCATAATCCTCTAAATTTTCCATTTTAATAATGGGAAATGTGTAGAATCATTTGAGTATCTTGATACTGATATTGCTCAAAATACACATAATGCACACTTATGGGATACATGTGCAAGACTTGTTTCTTTTAAATAACTATAGTAGCCATGAGAAGACACTGTATATATTAAAAAAAAACACCACATCTGTAAAAGTTCCTGAATTTTTGACCTGCTCCAAAAATGAATATCGTCTTTCCTAGACTATGGTTTAACACAGTTCATCAAATTTTTTGCTGCTTTTGGAGATATCCTGCTTACAAACAAACAAGCACAGAGACAAATAGGGCATTAACATAACCTCTGTGGGGGATATAATTACATTGCTGTTACTAAACCTGTTTTCATCAACTGTGCAAATGTATCAATAACAAAAACTTACATCAGTCATCTTTTTTTGTAGAGCGTTTGGAACAGCGCCTATTATCAAAACAAATGTGTCCCCAAAAAGAGGGAGCACTGGCGAGTAATGAGTTTGTTTCCAAATTCAAGATACAAATCAATCATAACAGCCAGAAATCAAAATACAACGAGAGAACGGAGGAGCAGATGGAGGCGACCAACCTGTCCTACGGATCAGACGAATCACAGGAAGAACCAAATGGACAAATGTGATTACCATGTTGATGGTTAGGGGAGCAAGTTTTTAAATCTATACATTGAGAAATGATAAAAGATATTTTTAAGATTTGACAGTGGAGAGTGGACAGAGAAAAGTTATTTACAGTAATACATAAATGTTTGCAAAACCTTTGTATTATATTTATATTTTGAGATACACACTAAATGACAAGCACAATGTGATACAGGATTAAATGAAAACCCATTTTACCAAGATCAACTGAGTTTTACCATTTTGTACAATAAAGTGTATTGATGAATAATACCAACTCACTTGCTTTAATTCACCCTGTGTCGTGTATAAGTATTTGTTAACATTAGACTTCCTGAAAGAACCTCTTATCTTGCAAGTTGTCTGCTGTAATCTGACAGGAAATCATGAAGTAAGAAATGTAACCAAGTAAAAAGTATATTCATCTGCAAGTAAAATTGCAGATGAACACAGCATCACAGAGGATTGAGGTCTAGCTTCCATTTTCTTTCACCTGTTTTTAAGCGTAATGGTTTACATCCAATACAAAGTTCATAATGAGATTTAATAATGCAAAATATTGAGCAGTAGAGCAAGAATAAATTATCAGGATGTGTGTAGTGGCAGGTAAATAACAAGAAACAGAAATGTCAGAGCTGTTGTTCAGGTCATCAGGACACACCACTACATTTACCTGGCAGAGAGCACTGACAGGCACATTTTTTCTGTTGTTCACTGTGTGTCCTGTTTTACAGCTCCTTAATAGCCTATTTTAAGGCATTCTTATCAAAAATGTGTCATATGTACGTTCATAGCATGGACTTATGTACTTCTGTTTTTTCTTTTAATGGCATAAATTGGTTTTCTCTGTACTTTACAATTTTAGATGCAGGATTTTTACTTAGAATTGAGCATTTCTACTATATGGTATTTCAAATTTTACTTAATCTGAATACTTCTTCCACCAGTACAAATAAAGTAATACAAGGTTTATCTTTGCTTGTATATGGTTTCTATGTAGTTCAGAAGTAAGATGTAGATATTGTGACCTGACGGTGGCGCTGCAGGACGTAAGGAGCTGAGAGTGACCCGGAAAAAAAGAGTAAACTTAACCTCTGTCACATGGCGGCTCCCAAGGACTCATGTTGGTGGTGGATGAGGAGTTAGCCCAAGTTAAGTTTTCTTTTAATTAATCACAGTTGAGCCATGGAGGCTATGGGTTTGTTCTGATGTGTGAAGGCATCGCTAGGTGAGGAGTACGCCATGTTGGCATCAGTGGTTGCAGCCTCCAGAGGGAGCATCAGGTCTTTGGTCTCTCTGAGTAGGAGACAGACCACCAACCAGCCCGGCTCCCCGAACAGAGTCGAAAGCCCCGCTCCTCTCCCGGACAGCGAGCCGGCCGCGGTGGAAGAGGAGCAGCGGCGGAAACCCACAAAAGACCCGAGCAGCCGCACCGTGTTCCTCTTTCCCGGCCAGGGCAGCCAATTCGTGGGCATGGGAAGAGGACTTTTAAGGTACCCCAACGTCAAAGAAATGTTCTCAGTAGCTCAGAAGATCCTCGGGTACGACTTGCTGTCCCTGTGCCTGGAGGGGCCCGAGGAGGAGCTGATGAAGACGGTGCACTGTCAGCCGGCGGTGTTGGTCTGCTCGCTAGCTGCGGTGGAGAAGCTCAACTGTGAAAACCCCAAGGTTAGTCGACTAATCGGTTTAATCAACAGCGGCTCGGTTAATAGGTCGTTGTTTATAAGTCATTTATCAAGAGAGAATGGCTGCTTCATTTTTTGACTTTGCAAGATTTCAGAGGCTAATAATGTAGTTTTACTCCACTACATTTATTTGATCAATTTAATTGCTTACATTTCAGAATAAGCTTAATCCAACAAAATAAAATATAATCATAAGATTTTGAGGAAAAGATACCGAGATTCTCAGCAGTTTGTAAAATAGTTTAATTTACAATGATTAGATTCAAAACAGCTTATGGGGTAGTAAAAATCTACTCAAGATGCAACATTAACATAATGTACACAATATCTAATTCATAATTTTACTTTTACTTTTGGTTATTTGAGTAAATCTTGATGTGCATACTTTTGTACTTAAAGCTACGGTATGTAACGTTTTTCAAATAAATGTGTTATAGAAATATGCTCCAAAACTATTCTTAATGTGGAAAGATGAAAGATGCTTTCGAAGCTTCCTCTGACAGGGAGAGGGAGTCCTGGGTGGAGCAGAGTGGGTTGATTTGGAATTTCATTCTAGCGTTACCTGAAGTTACATGTTGCAGCTTTAAGAAATATTTTGAATGCAGGTTAGAGTATTTTTACACTGTGGTATTGTTACTTAAGTAAAAGATCTGAGTGCTTCTTCCATCACTGGTATTATATCATTATAAAGTGATTTGTTTTTGGCTGGACAAACAATCAATTGAAGGTCCCCCAGGGCTGATGAGTGTATTAGAACTGTAATAAAGGTTTTCATTATCAATTAATTTTGTCCACAAATGTTTCGGCCTGATAAATTGTAATGGGTGTTTTTCTTTACACTTCTGTCCACAGGCTGTTGAGACATGTGTTGCAGCTGCAGGTTTCAGTGTTGGAGAATTTGCGGCTCTGGTCTTTTCTGGTTCCATGAGCTTTGCAGAAGGTAAACACTTTAAATTTCGTTTAACCTTTATTTTCTGTTTTCTCTTCTATGCAGGACAAAGCTGTAGCAGAGTTAGTTGCTTGCCATATTTACCACTTCACATTTTGTCTTCTAGCTCTGTTTGCGGTGAAGGTGCGTGCAGAGGCCATGCAGGAAGCCTCGGAGCTGGTTCCCAGTGGGATGCTGTCAGTTGTTGGTAGACCTCAAGCTCAGTATAAATATGCCTGTCTGCAAGCTAAAGAGCACTGCAAGAGTCTGGGGATTGAGGAGCCGGTGTGCTCTGTGGCCAGCTATCTGTTCCCCGATGGCAGGGTCATCGCAGGCCACCAACAGGTATGAAGCATGAAAACATAAATTCATAATAAAGCTATGAATGCGTCAAGTTGCCACCAGTTATAAGTGGGAAGGGACTTCATACCTAAATCACAGTGTTATAAATCTATGTAAAAGGAGTATTATCTTCAGGCCTTAGCTGTTAGAGCTGCCATGGTCTCCACTTCGGTCAGAGATGTTTTGTCTTCCCAGGCTCTGGATTTCCTTCAGCAGAACTCTAGACGCCTCCATTTCATGAGGACCAAACTTCTCCCAGTCAGTGGAGCATTTCACACCGAGCTGATGGCAGCAGCTGCCGAACCCCTCAGAGAAGTTCTCAGACAGATGGAGGTCAGTCATCTGTGCACCCACCATGACATATTTTGGAATTTGGTCAGCTGCCACAAATAATTAATTACCTGATCAAAGAGTGCAAAACATTTACTGGTTCCAGCTTCTCAAATGTAAACACTCTTGGATTTTGGACCCCTGATTAATAAAATGTATAGTTCAATTGAAAGACAAAACTGTAACAGTAAACAGCAGATTAATGAGAAAAATATTTGTTAGGTACAGCCCTAAATCAAAACTGTCAATGAGCTGTAGTTTTGTGAATAGGTAAGTAAAATATTAAATATCAGTTAATTTCATCCACTTGTCTTATAATAATTTCTAACTTATCTAATGGCCCATATGTTGTGCACCTCAACTTAGTCAGTGCTATAACACAGAGCTTTTTATATGGTTCAGGTGCGGCGTCCTGAGATCAGCGTGTACTCCAACATCGACGGCAAACGCTACATGAACGAGAGCCACGTGCGTAGACAGCTGGTGAAGCAGCTGATGTCGCCGGTGAAGTGGGAGCAAACTTTGCACGAGATCTACGAGAGGACGCAGGGAGAGAAGTTCCCTCACACCTATGAGGTCGGACCTGGAAAGCAGCTCGGCGCCACACTTCGGAAGTGCAACAGGAAGGCCTTCACAACATACACACAGGTGGAGGTCACCACTTATGAAGACTGATACTGAAAAGACATGGACTCGGCGACAAAAACACCCAAGCAGTGGGAGGAAAATGGACCTCGGTGCTTATTTTATCTCAGACAACATGACCAGCAAGGTAATCCTGCAAGCTCCTGTGGTTGCATCATCACAGTCTTGTTTGTGTATTACTCTGAAATTGAATAAAAACATTTTTTTCAATAATGAAACTATACCACTTTGTCATTATGAGATTTATTTGCATCACATGAAAAAGCATTTTCAAATCTGCAACAGAAAGTCCAGCTCCCTTCTTTTTATATTAAGCCAGGTTATATATCATCTGTAAAAATGTTTTTAAACCAGTAAGAAACTAATCAGTATACAAAAGACTGCAGGCCAGCAACAGTCCAGTCTAGGAGAACATTCGTTTTAACATTAGTCCAACTGTGAACCAACAGTTTACTGCTACAGTGCGCTGGCCAGTTCCTTGGGCAACACTTGAAAACTGATTTAAACAATCTCTACATGCCCTACTAGATTTTACAGTACAGTTTTATTTTTTACCTCTGTGTTCTGGTTATGTTGCCCAGGAAGTTGTTCAGTCTTCTGTGTCAACTTCAGTACAACTCATTAAAATAGTATAAAAAGAGAAAGTAAACAGCAGAAACAAATTAGCAATAATTGTCACTCATTTCCAAACGTTTTGTGTCAAATATATGATGGCCTAGAAGACCTGCTTACGGCCCTTTAGGCTTTCCATTCCATCCACAGTGCACTGAAAATGGTCACTGCAGCCACCAGTACCACAGTCACAAGTGCTCCTCTGGTCCAGCCAACGCAGGCGACCTGTTTAAAAAGGGGGACACATGAAATTAAATGTAATGAGTCAGAGTTGGACAATTCAGAATGTTTTGCTACTTTAGAGCTAAATTTGCAAGAGGTGAAAGGTATGGAATCATATTTGTTTCAGTGCTGAGTGCTCAACAGGATTTTTTGCACCCATCTAAATTATATTCCCCAATCAGAGCTTAGCAACTATAGCTACACATGGCAGGGTTGTCAATTTTTGGATTTCTGCCAATGCCAAAACTGTGCTAATGAGGGTTTAATAGGAGTAATAATCTTGGAGAATGGGGTTTTGATACAGCCTTTTGAAAATCAAAAATACAAGAGCAATAGTATAAGGAATAAGTAAGCAAGCTAATGTAAGATAGCAACATTAGCATACCTGGCAAGCTTACTACCTATTATTACAGTCTACATGATTTTTAAGTGTAATTGAAAATGAATAATAATCACTTGGCTGCTTAATAAATATTAAAGATTAGCTAGGTTTTATTCACCAACTTTACATTCAGATTGTTTTGACAATAGAAACCTTTCCTATCTGTGTATTTGTTTTCTACTCCAGCATACCTGTTCTGAGCTGCTGTCAAAATTATAATCCTATTTCAAACAATACAGCAAGTTAGAAGACATGCATATGACATGAGTAATACAGCCCTAGAGTGTGGGTCTAACATTCTGCTGATGGTGTATCTATACATTGAGCACCCCCTTTTACATTTTATTTTCCCCTATACATCACAGTAATGTTTGTTAATAGGTGAAACTACAACTTATATTTTACACTATACAGTAAAAATAAGGTATGACACAAATATATTGCCATAGAGAATGAGTGTTGCTCAAGCTGTCCAGACCTCAGCTCTGAGGATCCCCTCCCCAGGCGTAGTACGTGCTATCCAGGCCTTCACTGCAGCAGTCAGGCCCTGGAAGCCCCATAACTGGCTGTGGATGTCCCTGAGAAGGAACAACACTAGGTTACAGCCAGTCACGTGATTTGATGAGTGAAATAACATACAGTGAAAGGGACATTTTTCAGATTGTCTACCGATAGATGGACCTGGTCAGTGCATGAACAGGCCTCAGCATGTGTAGAGGAGTCGGTGGCCAATGTGGCTGCCTGCTGGACTGCTCTCGGTCCAGCTGGTCTCCAATGATGGCCAACTGGCGCCCAAAGGCTCGTGCAGCCCTGTCATGGATCCTGTAGTAAGAACAGTCCATTTTGGGGGGGATTTGTCACATTGTGGAAGCCAAATGTTATCAGACAGATTGGTTTTATAATGAATATTTGACAAAGTACTCCATTATTATACTTGTTCTTTGACAAAGACGCACACAGAGACAAGTCCCATCATAGACACAAGTGGTTCTCAAAACAGAAACTTCTCTTTGGTAGTGTTTGCTTTTGGTACAGCTGACCCGACATAGTCTGTTGCCTGAGGCTCAGCCTGTCTGAACTGCATGTTATTGTTATTAATAGTCACAGTGTGGGGCAGGGCCTGTAATCTACCTGAGGTTAACATCAGACAGGGCACCACTGTGCGCCTCACCAGGTCCAGCCTGGAGGGACACAACATGACTCGGCCGTCTTGTTTGTTCCACCATCTTTGTTTTCTGAGAAAAGAACCGGTATTATAAAAAAAATATTCATATCAGTGCACGTGAGAGATAAATACCCAGAACTTCATTACCCATGCAGGACACACAATGGCTCAGTGGTTTTAAAGTGTTTCTGTTATCCCTGCTTGACTCCCAACGTCCATAAACAGGCTGTGCAAATACTGGGTCATGTGATCAGGATAGGTGGTGGCTGTGTTACCGGGGAGAGCATGATAAAACAGGTTTGAAGAGATGATATCATCTGTCGGATTAAGTCCACTCAGTAGCCTCAGTGGACTACAACCGTCTACTGCAACGTGTGTGTTTCAGTTCTGTCGTCATGATGTTTATGCAGTAAACGGTACACCTAATCTTCATCACGGGACTGATGAGTTGCTATTTTCTGTTTTGTCCTACCATTCAGGCCTTAACAGGTTTGTTGCACCTGCCCTAAGACCAGTTCCTGTTGTTGCTGCAATCATGTGCCTAAATGCAAATGCTCCATTTACATAACTCAAATCAACCAAACTGCCTTTTACCCTCTCTAAGAAGAAATATTACATCAATGGCTCCAAAGAACCTGCTTAAATATTTAATGAGCTAAACCACTGTAAATAACTTAATGAAAGTGTCTCTTGTGTGTAATTATATTTATGTGTTTATGCCAATTTAAAAGAAACATAGCATCAACAACATCAATATATCGCCACAAATGTGGAAACCTTAAGAAAATCATACCCGAGGCTTTAAAATAATAGCCTGAGGGCAGGTTCAGTATATGAAAAAAAAAAAGCAATAGCTTATGGTAGTCTGCCATATTGTCATAACAAAGAGATGAGGTCATCTCTCTGCCCAAAGCAAACGAAGGTTGTTTTGAAGTTCGATTCATACATATTAGATTACACATTAAGCCCGCAGATATAAATTAGTTAATTGACTAAATGACTACCGATATTTCCTAAGTCTTAGTATATTGAGGCATGTTGGAAATGTATCATGTTAGATGTAAAAATGAGTGCTCCCGCCTCGGTAGTAAACAGGTGCATCCACAGTAAAAAAAAAAAGAAAAGAAAGTAATACCTACCTTTTGTGTAGATTAAATTGGACGCCGCCCTGTAATCAATATAAATAGATTAGAATTAAAATGTTTTGGAAATCATAAAATAAAGAATATTTCGTAAGGCGTTTTTTCTACTTACAGCAGCGTCCTTTAATCTTGCTGTTCGCAGGTAACTGCCGCAAATATGACTGGCCACGCCTTTACCTGCTCCTGCAGACAGACGCCGTGAGGTGCGACGGTGTGTTTGGATGTGGGGAAAGAATCGATAGTTGATTTATCCAATTATTATTATTTTATGTTTTTCTTGTTTTTATAACATAAATCATTTCACAAGGGAAACCAGAAAATTGAAAATGCGAACGCTTTCTGATATGTATGTTGTAAATTAGTAAAAAACTTAATATTAAGTATTTTGTTATTTTACATAACAAATAGTGCAATGGTCTTGGTTTTGTCACTTTCTTTGAACCAATATAAATAATTGTTTCTCTGTTACAATAAAAATAAAAAACAATTCAGTGGTATAATCAATTGTGTATCATAATTATTTGACTATATTGGGATGGTTTGTATTGGGCCAGAATGTACAAGATATGTTGTGATTTTTCTTTTGATGTTGTAAAAAAATATTATTTTACATCCATCCATCCATCCATTTTCCTCTGCTTATCCGGAACCAGGTCACGGGGGCAGCAGTCTAAGCAAAGATGCCCAGACTTCCCTCTCTCCAGACACTTCCTCCAGCTCCTCCAGGAGAATGCCAAG